GTGGGGCACCGCTCCCGAATGCCTTTGCTGACGCCGTTCTGTGCATTCGTCGTCGGCGTCGTGGCCGTCGAAGTCGTGACCTCCTGATGGAGCAGCAGTGGTGTCGCCATCGTTGTCCAAGGCCGCACCTAACCTCAGTGGGTCCCCGTCTTCTACTTCGAAGGCGTCGGATGGGGGTCCCCACGAGTCGTCGTGATCATCGAAGACCTCCGGACCTGGTGGGCCTTGCGCTTGCGAGGGGTCACCAGGTGAGTCCAGAGGCTCGTCACTTCCTTGCCCGATGGTGAGCGGACTGGGCTTCATCTTGCTGAGTTCACCCCTACAGGGTCGGAAATACTTCTCCAAACGCCACGCCGCGGCCCCAACAACACCCGAAGGCTTCTCCGCCCAACCCCGTCCGCATCAGCGGGTGCGCGGTCCAAACGCCCCCCCTCATACCATTCTAAACGGGCTTCAAGAAGCCTCCAAAAATTCCCCAAGAGCCCCCAAGAGATCCCAAGACGCCCCCCTTCCACATCGCCATCATCGTCATCATCAGTTTCATCATCATAGCCACACTCATCAACATCATCGTCATCGTCATCGTCATCGTCATCGTCATCGTCATCGTCATCATCATCATCATCATCATCATCATCATCATCATCATCATCATCATGTTCATCCTCGGCCTCCTCCTCCTCCTCTTCCGCCTCCTCCTAATCCTCCGTCTCCCGTTGACTCATCCTCCTCCTCTTTTCATATCGTCCTCCCCTTTCTCCTCATCCCTCATCCTCCCCCTCTTTTCCATGCTGGCGTTGTCTTGAATTTGCTGCCCAAAAGTGTCACATCCAATCCTCTGCCTCTTCCTCCCTCTCCTCCTCCTCCTCCTCCTCCTCCTCCTCCTCCTCCTCCTCCTCCTCCTCCTCCTCCTCCTCATCCGCATCCACTCAAAATTGGTCCGCGGACCCTCCCGGGTCCATCGGGTGCAGGTTTTCATCCCTGGATCGATGTTTGACGGTCCGCATGAGCCCATGAGGCCCCAAAGAAGCCCCCAGAAGCATCCAGTATGTCTTCAAGGAGGGAGGAAGGAGAAGAACAAAGAGGAGGAAAAGGAAGAGCGTCGTCTTCGTCGTCGTCGTCGTCGTCCATTTTGAGGCGAATCCAGAGCGCCCCGGGTCGGCGGCACTGGCCAGAGGCCACTGCAGTATTTCTCCTCACGCCACACCGCGGCCCCAACAACACCCAAACACACTCATGAAGGCTTCTGCGCCCAACCACCCTCCGCATCAGCGGGCGCGCGGTCCAAAGCGGGTTTTCGCCTGCGGGGGGACCCTGGGGTGATCCACTCATTAGTACAAACTTTATGGCAGAGAACGGATGAACATGGTTTGGGCGATTCTGCCCGGGACGTCCTCAAAGCCTGCCTGGTTTGGCCCCTGGTCTGGCCCCTGGTTGCGCGCCCCGCCTGCCTGGCTCGGGCCCGGTTTCTACTGAGACTTCCTCAGATTTTGCATGATTTGGCCCTGGCTTGGCTTCGTTTGGGCTCGGGTTCGCTTGAGACGTCCTCGAAATGTGTCTGGTTTCGCCCTGGCTTGGCCTGGCTTGGGCCCAGTTTCGCTCGAGACGTCCACACAAGTTGCCTGGTTTGGCCTTGCTTGGCATGGTTTCGACCTGGTTTCGCTTGAGACGTCCTCCGATTTTGCCTGCGTTCTCCTTCGTTTGGCATGGCTTCGGGACAAAGGAAGCCTTTGCGAGGCTCGCGGAGGTAACAACAAAGCAGCAAATGTCTGCACGGTCGGGTAGCATCCGTTGTGGTCGCCATGCGGTCTCAGCACACAATGGGATGTGACATTTTCTCTTCGACACTAAATGGTTACTTGACACACGTCGTGGCAGGGGTGTGAAAGCCGAAGTAATGACACGGTATCATGAATACCCAGTGTGGTCTACACGTAAAACGACTGCGGTACAAAGTGGCGGGCGGCATAGGGGTGGACATTCCCAACACGCTGTGGATCGGCATGGGCGTGTGTGGCGGCGTTCGGAGAAAAGTTTTCGGATGCTGTGGAGTAACCAGCGCGTCTGTCTGCCAAGGGCAGCGCGTGGTGGCATTTGGTGGCGACGGTCATAGATCGCGACGGCGGTGCTGTGGAGAACCGCCGCGAATGTGTGCCGCCACTTGGCTCTGACATCTTGCTGCAGGGTGTGCAGACGTGATCCCGCGACGGCGAGTTCCTCTGTGCGGCGGTTTGAAGCCTCTGCGGTCGACGTGACTCGGCCTCCATTTTTGCCTTGGTCGTCGAAATGGCTTTCAATGTTTTGGGCCTTGAACATGTCAGATTGGCTTACGGCACGCGGCAGATTTTCTGCCAAAGATTGCAAGGACAAGGACAAGGGCGGGGATCGTGACCGGGACCGCGGGAGCTGCTCGTCCAGCAGCGAGCACCGCCGCAGGCGGCGCACTGAGGAACGCAAAGGCAGCCCAGGGTACGCCGAGGAATCACAATGCCGAGAAGTAGCGCGCCGAGACTGAGCGCCAGGAGAAGGCCCAGGCGGAGCGCATCGCTGCGGCCTTGGCAGGCGCGTGCGCTGCGTCTGGCGCGGCCTCGCCCGCAGCAGGCCCTGGCCCCAGCGCGCCGCCCGCCGCGGCGCGCGGGCCCCTGCCGCAGGCACCTCTCGCCGCGGCTGGGCCTCTGCCGCCCGCGGCCCTCGTGGCACCAGCGGGCCCAGCAGCGCCAGCACGCGCTCCAGACGTCGGCTCTGCCTGGGGGCCACTCTGGGCGCAGGACCTCGGGGGGCCGCCCGCCGTCCTGGCTGCTCGGCCGGACGGCCCTGGAAGGGAGGAGTCCGCAGCCCTTCGGCGCCACGAGGCCGAGCAGCAAGCCCGCGCTTCCGAGGCCGCCGCGCGGCCGCGCGGCCACCGGGCGCGCGAACATCGGCCCGTCGGGGATCGCTCCCGTTCCAGCTGCTTCGTCCCTGGGCCAGCAACCACGGCCGCCGGCGCCCCCGGTCGCGACCCCTCCGGCCTCGAGCGACGGACCCGCAGTGCTGGCCGAGCTGGAGGCGATGCTCGTCCGCGCTCGCGGCATCGCGCCGCCGCCGGCCGCCGGCCGCCGCGCCCTCCGCTGGGCGGCGGACCGCAGGCCGATGGCGCCGTGGTGCCCAGGCTCCGCCAGCCGGCGAGCCTGCGGCCGCCGCCGCTGGGCTGGCCGACGGCGGGGCCACACCTGATATCACCCCTGTGCACCGCACCGTCGTGAAGCTGATGGAGTCGCTGGGCTTCTCCCTCGGCATCGTTGGCAAGGCTGCCGTCGACGACATCACCACCGCACTCCGCACTCGCAGGGCTGGCGAGCATGGGGCGCAGCTTGGACCCAAGCTGACGGCGTGCCTCCAGGACCACGGGCCCTCGGTCAGGGCGGCATCCCCTCAAGGATCGAAGATCGCATCAACGAGGTGGTTGAGCTGCCCGTCTCGCTCTCCGCGGCCTGGTGGCGCCATGGTGTCCGCAGATGGGTGCCTGGGCCGTGGCTGCTGATTGCATTCGTGCTAGGCCGTGCGACGGCTGCTTCGACGCCCGGCTGGGAGCGACGGCTGCCGAAACCCATCCGTGACGCGACGGTGTGGTCGCGGGCGCGGCTGGCAGCCAGCGTGCGGAAACGGGAGTACACCACGGCACTCCATGCCAGCATGGACGCTCTCAACGCTTCTGGCCTCCGCCCGGCGGCGATGCCAGGCTCTGCGGCGATGGCGTGGCTCGCCGCGGGGAGGGGGCGGCCCCGCGCGCTCGGCGCCCGAGGCGCCCCGTGGGCGCAGGTGACGACATGACAGGCGCTCCGCCTGGCCGCAGTGCGCGTGACGGCTCGCCGTGCCCTGACGCATGCCTCGCGCTGACTCCGGCACGGAGGTCGGGCGGGCCTCAAGGATTCTGAACGCCTCCTCCTCCTCCTCCTCCTCCTCCTCCTCCTCCTCCTCCTCCTCCTCCTGCTCTTCCTTCCCCTCCTCCTCCTCCTCCTCCTCCTCCTCCTCCTCCTCCTTCTGCTCCTCCTCCTCCTCCTCCTCCTCCTCCTTCTGCTCCTCCTAATCCTCCTCCTCCTATACCGCTACTCCCCGGACCTCTCCCAGGGTGCGTTCTGACCGGAATTTCGGGGCGAATCCAGCGGCGACAACGAAGACCTCACAGGAGACCCAAAAAGGGGGAAACGGGCGAAAGGCAGAGGTATGGGTACCTTTTCCTCCTCTGAGCACCAGAAGCTATAGGGCCGAAGCCTCTCTGATGTCCGCTGCGGTTTACCTTGCCAGAAGCGGGTCTGGCGGCAGAGGCCGTCGAGCTACGAAGCCTCTCAAGTGTCCATGGCGAGATTGCGAGCCCTCCCCCTCCGTTCCCATCTTGTTCCGATTCCATCCTTTGCTCTCTCTCTCTCTCTCTCTCTCTCTCGCTCTCTCTCCCCGTTCTTCTTCAGCCAATGTGTGCAGAGTCGCCAGTCTGTGCACCTCTTCGGCAGCCGCGGCTGGGCTCCAGCTCGACAGCTGGTGCCCACAGCGAGCTCGAGGGTCCCATCCGCCAGACGTGGTTTTCCATGGGCACTCGCGGCAGCGCATGCGAAAAGATGTGCCTCCTCCTCCTCCTCCTCCTCCTCCTCCTCCTCCTCCTCCTCTTTCTCTTCCTCCTCTTCCTCCTCCTCCTCCTGCTCCTGTTCCTCCTCTGCTCCTCGGCACCACCTCCTCCTCCTCCTCCTCCTCCTCCTCCTCCTCCTCCTCCTCCTCCTCTTCCTACTCCCCCTCCTTCTCCTCCTCTCCCTCGGCTCCTCCTCGGCTCCTCCTCGGCTCCTCCTCGGCTCCTCCTCCTCCTCCTCCTCCTCCTCCTCCTGCTCTTCTTCCTCCTCCTCCTCCTCCTCCTCCTCCTCCTCCTCCTCCTCCTGAGGACCAGGGAGGAGCGGGAGGGTGCGAGGGTGTCGAGCGATCTCTGGCACGCCGTCCCTCTCGAGCGACTCCGTGGCAGCACGTTTGGGGCCCGCCTGCACCAGGCAGACGCTCTCGTTCGTGATCCCGGGGCTCAAGCAGACCGGCTCCGAGGTGCGCGCGTCGGCCGCCGACGCCGTGTAGCCGGTCTCCTGGGGTCCCCCTCCTCCTCGCCAGGTTGCGCATGGGCGAGACTGCCGTCCTCGCGAGTGCCGAGGGAGAACCGAGCGTGCTCCCCCGAGTGGCCGCCAGGGCGCGTCGGCCGCCGAGGCCGTGCGGCCGGTCTCCTGGGGTTCCCCCCGCTCGCGCGCCAGGTGGCGCAGGGCAGAGCTGCCGCCGTGACGAGCGCAGGCAGCGGGGCCCTGCGGCGGGCCCCAAGGGGGGAGGCAGCGGGTGCGGGCCTCTCAGCGGGTGCCGAGCCTTCTGGGAGGCTCCTCCCTGCCCTTCGCCGAGGTCCCGCCGCCCTCCGAGGAGGCCTGCCCGCGCTGGCGCTTCCCCCCTCGGTGCGCCGCCGGAGCACCAGGCATACTCCAGAGGGGTCGTAGAGGTAAGCGAGTGCTGCAAGGGGGTGCAGTTGGGATTGATTGGGGAGGACACAAAGAGGACACAAGACCCTTCCGAGGGCCACATTGCCACGATAATGTAGAAGGCATGTGTCGCGAACACACAGGACACAAGAGTACCCTTGATCGGGCAGAGTCGACCTACTAATCTGGGCCGACTGTAGAGGGGAAGGAGCACCTGGCTCTTTACAAACCGTCGTGCCGTGAAGCTGAGCAGCAGGTTTGCCTCGGACAGGGCGGCTTTCTCGAAGCGGACAGGCGCACCATGCAATCGCAGAGCACGCTTGCAGCGCCGAGCGAAAACGTTCGAATCATCCGTGCCCCTGCATGTTTTGCACGACGCAGACACCTTGGGCTCTGCTCTTCCTTTTGACCACGAGCGGGGGTTGAACCGCACAGAGAGCATGCTCGAGCACACGGATGGTGTAAGACAGCGGCTGGACGAGATCTGGGGGGGCGTCATCCAGCGCGCGACACCAACGCCGATCTGGCGGCCACACTTGGCCGTCGGAGACGGGGCCGAGGCACTGGAGCGAAACTACCATCTCCTCACCCCGGACCGTGCTTCTCCCCCCCTAGACTGTGGATGCAACCCGCCGCGGGTAACGATTGCACGCTACAGGAACGCACAACACCCCCGTCGCCCTCGCGCTGTCCAGTGTGAGTGCTACCTCTCCCGCGTAGTGCTTCCACAGACGCGCGCGCGCACAGGACTCGAAGTCAGCATCGTGCTTCGTTCGGGCTCCTCTTGATCCTCAAGAACGGTGCTCCCGCTGCAGCGTCGGCCCCAATTCTAAGATCGGAGCTGTGCTCCCGTCGTTCAGAATGGCGCCCTCGCCCCAGCGTGGGCCGCATTTCTGGATCCGACTTCTTCCTCGGCGTTGCCGCCCCCCTCCTCTTTCCCCTGGTCCTGCTGCCCTCTGCTGTTCCTGATCCTCCTCCTCCTCCTCCTCCTCCTCCTCCTCCTCTTCTCCTCATGCTCCTCCTGCTCCTCCTGCTGCTCCTCCGTCTCCTTCTCATCATCATCCTCTTCCTCTTACTTGTCCTCCTGCTCATTCGCCGCTTCCTCCTCGTCCTTCTCCTCCTCCTCCTCCTCCTTCTCCACCTGCTCCTGATGTGCAAAGCGCCCCCCTTCTGTTCGCGTATCGCAAGATGGGGACACCTTTGGGATTACTGTCCTCGAGGGCACAGTTGGCGGATGCAAGCGAATCCAGCGCAATGCAGGGATGGGTAGGATGTCATATACGGCGCGAGCGCGCCTAGCTTGACTCGTGTCACTCTTCCCGCCTCCCCGCTCCTCCTTCAGCTCGCGCATGGCCGCCTGGACGGGCGACTCGCCCTCGTCAACCATGCCGGCAGGCAACTCGATCGTCTTGCAGCTCATGGGCGGGCGGAACTGGCGGCGGCAACGGAGCTCGAGGGGCGGCAGGGTGCAGCTCATCGGCGGGCGGCGGCGTGAGGACGGGGGCGCGACGAGGAGCAGCCCGGCACAGGGCAGCCTCCGGGGGCGGATCCTCGACCGGGGCGGCCGGCAGCAGAGGCGCGGACCGCCGGGGGGCGAGCGGGCCCCCGCCAGCAGGCGCGCGCGACCCGGCGTGCCCGATGCCCCGGGCGGCGGGGGGCCCCGCGGCCCAGAGCCCGCGGGAGAGGAGGGAGGCGGGAGGGCAGGACGTCCGACGAGGGAGAGAGCGCGAGGCACTCGAAGAGGAGCGGCCGCCGAGGATGAGCGGGGGCGGCGAAGGGGGGGGCCGCCGAGGGAAGGCCCAGGGAGTGCAGGGGAGGCGCGGGTGGACAGGCGCTGGCACAAGCACGGGGGCGGGAAGAGGAATGGCAGAAAGAGGGCGGGCGGGAGCGAGGGAGGGGAGGGAGGGGAAAGAGAGAAAGAGAGAGAGAGGGAGACACAAATGTGTGTACAGATGTGTCACACATCATCCACATACAACTGTACTGGTGTACAAGTGTATTGGTACACACCTGTATACGTATATGCATATACATATGAGCACATACATGTATACATATACATATATATATATATGTACACATACATCTACATATGCGCCGACCCCCTTCGGGGGCGCAAGGCTGCGAAGGTGTGTGCGGTCTGCTGTCATGTGTTATGTGTTGTCATTTGTGCTTTGGCCTTCTGCCTCTACAGTCCTGTTTCCTGCCTCCCGTTTACCGTCTTCCAGGGGGCCCTGCCATGCCCACCGCGCGGCCGCTCCGAAGAGAGCCTCAGGAGGCCAAGACGGCCCAAGATGGCCCCGAATCACGATCCGTGTGCGGGGACGCATGGAATTAGGGTTTCCTCATTAGCGCGCATAAGAGATTTTAGGGCTTTAATATCTATGTGTTCTTAAACTTTACGGTTTATTAGGTCGGCTTACACACCAAATACTTTGTTCGATGCCGGGAAAGAAGCGATTTTGACGACATTCCCATTGTACAAGTTGCGAACATATTTTCGATTGCAAAGGTTACACCAGGATTCCTACTGTATAGTTTACAACAGGAGTTGTATTGTCGAGGTTGCACGAGGATTCCCGTTGTAAGCTACAGTGGGATTCCTATTGCACAGGTTTCCTTAGTATTCCTACTGTAGAGTAACAATGGAATTCCGACTGTACAGGTTCCACTCGGCGTCCTATACCGGATTGCTTTTGTACAAGCTACAATCGGACTCCTATTGTATAGGTTACACTGGGTTTCCAATTGTACACGAAACTCTGTGCGTGGCATCTTTTTAACAGTTTGGTAAGCGACGACATGCTGCGTATGGCAGTGTTTTTTTTTTGGGGGGGGTCTGGTTTTGGAGGTTGACAAAGAGAAAGGTGTTGGGGGGAGGGTGGCGAGCACTTCAGCCGTCCAGACCAACACAGCCAAACAAAACTGCCATTATCAGTGTTCCGTTGCTCTCCAGACATGAGGAACCAAACAAACATGCCATACACAATGTTTCGTGACCTCGACCGAAGCCGAGATGCTTGCGCGCACGGCGCGAGCGCTGCAGCCGTACAGTTTACATCAGACTTTGCATTGCACAGGTTACAACAGGACTCCCGTTGCACACGTCACAATAGGATTCCTATTGCTCAGGTTGCACTCGGATTTCTGTTGCACGAGGCACCATGGAATTCCTAGTGTACAGGTTACACTCGGAGTCCGATGGTACAAATTACAATCGGATTCCTAGTGTGCAGTGTGCAATCGGATTGCTTCTGTACAAGTTTCTATCGGATTCCTAGCATACGTGGCACTGGAATTCCTATTGTACACGAACAATGTATGGCATGCGTGTTTTTGGCACGTGTGCTTTTGGTATTTAAAAGAGGCTTCGGCGGCTGACAGAGAGACAGGTGCTGGGGGGAGGCCGCGGCGAGCACTGCAGCCGTCTAAACCCAGATAAACGCAACACAACTGCCATACGCAGTGCTGCGCTGTTTTCCAAAAACTAAAAACAAACCTGCCATACACAGTGTTTCGTGGCCTCGACGGAAACCGAAATGCTTGCGCGCACGGCGCCAACACTGCCGCCGTCCAGACCTAAAAAGACATACGACTTGCCATACGCAATGTTTCGTTGCTTCCCAGACCTGAAGAACAAAACAAACGGCCATACACATTCTGTCGTGCCGCCGATCGAAGCCGAAACGCTTGCGCGCACGGTGCCCGTGACGGATCGGCCGAGCGGATAAGTTCGTCAGCCTGGATCGCAGGCTAATGGGTGAAGGGCTTAGCTGCCCCGATACGCAGCACGCAACACGTAGCGTATTGATACGGAGCTCCGCACGTAGACACGTAGACTGAAAAACGCAGGTCAGACGCGATACGATCGCCCAAACGTGGGCCGATACGTTGAGCCAACACGCAACGTACCGACACGGACGTTTTGAGCACGGTGCGTGCTGCATATCAAAACGGGCGTATCGAGGCAACGAATGGGTGAAGGGTGAGAATAACGAGGCGAGTCCGTGAAGCTGGGTGCCTTGAGGGGTCGGTCGCTGGGGGAGGGACGCGACCATGTGTGTATATATATATTATGTAGACAACGAAAGAGAGAGAGAGAGAGAGAGAGAGAGAAAGAAATATAGACACATACATGTATATAGTACTATAGACACAGAAAGAAAGAGAGAGAGAGAGAGAGAGAGATAGAGAGAGCAATAGTCTATGCAAATATTATGTGTATCCGCCACCGTGCCTGCACGAAGTGGGCAAATTAGAATGGTCGGTTGTTGCCTGGAATGTTTTTTTATGTTTTCCAGCCCCCCTCCCCGCACGCGTAGCTGTCAGATCGTTCCCTGTGAAATTGCGTTTCGGCGCTCTGTTCGAACTCCAAACGGCCAAGATGGCCCCCGAGGCGACGTCCAAGACCGTCAAGACGACGCCAAGATGGCCCAGCACGGCTCAAGAGGCCCCCAGGACGGCCCCAAGGCAGCTCAAGCGGCCCCCAAGACGACCCCAACAGAGGCGTCGAGAGGCCGCCTAGGAGA